CAAACAACGGATTGTCCATTATGAACACCTTCTTCGAGCATCGAAGAGTGGGTCAGTGCACCTGGTACCGGGAAGCTTGTGCACAGAAGTCGATGATCGACTTCATAATCGTATCGTCTGACTCAAGACGATGTAAGAAATGGAGTGCCATGCAAAAGTCTGGTGACAGAGGCAGCCATACAATCAAACGGAAAGCATATTCTTTGTCGCATTCGAGGTCGAAAGTCGTAGATATCATTGAAACAGATTTGATTCGTTGTTCGCCTATCTCATCTATATGTGCTCTGTTGACCTATAGAAAGCTTATGACCGAAGCTCGCGGAGCAATCTGTGGGCATGACAGCGAACATGTGGAATCAATAACCTCTTGCTACGAGCCTTCCAATCACTGTATTCTGACAGCACGTGTTGCGTCAGAGTTAATGGCGTTAAGTCAAAACCATTCAGTGTTCGCACTGGTCTCCGCCAAGGCTGCGTCCTGTCCCCTAACCTGTTTGTGTTTTGCATGGAGAGGATACTCAGGCTCAACCAAGGCTATGACTGTATCAGCGTGGAAGATGTCGAGACGACCAGGTTACTGATTTCCTGGCATCTTCTGATGCTCATCTACAGTGACCATCTGAAAAGGTTCACAGCAAGATGCGACATGGCGAGCAGACATGAGAAGCCTAGTGCTCTCTGGTTCTCCTGTCTGTTGTTCCCTTGGGAAAGACGTTTGAGAAGAAGGGAAGTTTGTTCGAGTACCACGATGTCCCGTTCACCGTTGATGGAAAATTTGAGGAAGAAATCCAACGGGGGATCGGAGTAGCCAGCGGCGTTCTGCGTCAACTAGCCCAAACCATTGTGACTAAAGGAGAGATGAGTCTGAAGACTAAGCTCTCGATGTTCAAGTCGATCTTCATTCTAATGCTGACCTAGGTCGTGCATTGTAGACTATGTCAGAAAAACTTCGATCATGGGTACAAGCGATTGAAATGGACTTTTGAGATGATTGGCTGGTCTTTTGCCTCCGGGCAATCCTCTAAAGAATTAGTGTACAGCCGCTGTTTCTTGAGATTCAAGAGTCACAGCTGTGAACGCCTCCAGAATGGACGGTGAGGCAACTGTTTTTAGTCCAGCTGAGTGGCAGGACACTGAGAAAACGGCCACACTAAACTCTTGGAAAACTTGTAGACTGAGTCTGTTTTAGACTACGGCATTTTGTGCCCTGAAGCTCAACCTCCGGTACAGCATCACAAAAGTTGGCGGTATTGTTTTGAGTGTCTGGCTGCGCGGCCCGGTCATGGACGACGAATGAATGAAAAAAGATGCGAATTATAGCTTTAGCAAATAGTGCCTTTAGGCACGTAGGTGCCATCTCTCTGAATCCGAATCACTGTTTGTGTATAAAACATTAGCTATAGGTGTCATGTGCAGAAGCAGGAATCAAACTTACTCTCCCTGTCTTTTCGCCTCTGCAAAGCCATCGTTGATGGCAAGACGGCTGAGCATGTGCGAAAACAATCTTTCTTCCAAACGCAGACAGGCGGTAGTTGCTTGAGCTTCGCTAAGTTGACTCCGTTCCTGCTTTAGCAAGCGTGCGATTACAACAAGCTGCAGGTAGAGTCGAAATTCCTTGGGGTCGAATTCTTTTATCCGCCTTTCTAATATCGGATACAGCTCAGGAGTAAGAATCACAAACTTCCGATGGCTAAGTTGCTCCTGAAATGAAAAGCTACGTGTTTAATAAACAACACCAATCTTCGTCGTTCGAAGTTCTTTAACAGCAACCGCAGCAACCAAATGAGATAATGGGAATAAAACACTCAATTCGAGGCTTGAGAGTCATTACCAACAGTCTATAAAAACAGTGTAACAGTGTATTAAAATGAATTTATCAAAATGTGGGGTACACCTTTTGCAATTGCGAGTAACAATCTTCGAACGACAACATGATTCTTTCAATAATTACCTCGGTTTCTTCGAGTAAAGAAGACAGGAATTCCACCGAACAATGGCCAAAGTCGTTTCTGATGTCGTTCAAGTTTATTATTGGAAAGTAAACGCTCTTGTTTTCCCCATACAGTCCTTCACTTTGCACGGTGTTTGGTAACGAAGCAATAAAGTAATCAAAATCGGTTATGTTTTGTGCCGTCCATAGCATATCTGCATCGCTAGATGTTCGGTTAGGGAAACTGGCTAAAATTTCTGTAAAAGCGTGAATGGCTCTTCGACGCCCATATCTGTGAAAATCCCACGTGAACATGGATAGTGGGGTATTAATGTACAGAAGGTTTTCGCTTGCGTTCTTTTCGTTGGGATGCACAGACGTCTTATAGACCGCTTGCACTCCCAGTTCACGATTCATTATTCCCATCAAAGAGCAGCTACTTTCATTTTCAAACTGCGCGAAAGCTTTTTCACTGAAACGGATAATATCACCGATGGCAGTGCTCGCGTTTTGTGCCAATGACCTTCTGCACATCCTAGAAAGCAAAGCCAAGGAATCACCACAATATTTTGCATCGATTTTACTTTTCGTAGACTTGTCTTAGACTTTGTGTCCTGATAAAACGGCGGTTACTGAAGTTTATGAACTAATGACTAGAATGATTAATATCTGCTCCGTTAACGGACAGTTGTTGCTTTAAGTGGTGCGCTGAAAATTCACGAATGACACAATAACCAACACGCAGAGTCCCTGGACGTCTCAGGCTAAAATGCCGTTAGGTTTTCTCACCTAAACAATCATTTGTGGTGGCCTTGTGTTCGTGTACATGAAAATCCCCTTCTATGCCACATAGGATTAAAGTGAGCGCCAACTTCCATCGCGTTGGCCAACCGAGTTCATTTTACCTCATACAATAAAGAAGAAAGACTAGAGTTAAATGATAAAACTCTAAGGCTCTAACTAAGTTCATCCACATGACCAAAAACCAACCATGTGCTCTTCAAGTTGATTTTCTTCTGCAAACGATTATTAATAAGAAACAACCCACTTATGTCTAAAGGATATGGTTGAGGGTAAACAGTTGATTGTGTAGTAAAGAAACAAATTTCATAGAGTCGCTCTTGGATGCTGAAGGGTCCTGTACTAGTTGCACGTTAAATTCAATAAAAGCGATTTGATAGCGATATAAGCATAGAGAAAAGACTTGCATTTGCAAACATATGCACAACTGCTGTTTCGGATCCAATCTGACCTGATTTCATAGTCACAGTATGCATTGAACGGTGTCATTTTCTTTTGAACTAATGGACTCTTATAATTACTTCACAAGCAATCGTTGAAAGGCTCCTTGGCATGCGTCGATGAAATCTCATTCGAAGTTGCGATTCAAAAAGTGACTGCACAAACAAATAACACATTTTTCACTCAGAGGGTGAGTGATTGTCATTCACTTACAATGGAAATAATTTCCTTATTGGTCGCGTGTAAGCAATGCCTGCAGCACGGCATCCCTCTATGACAACTTTGCAATATTGTTTTGAATTTTTTGTTGGAAACTTTCTTCCCTGTATCAACGTTCTCCAACCATATTACCTTTTTTTGCTTCAAGAGAGTTACCTCTTTCACTCATGTAAAATGCAGAAGGATTCTCTGCACCCAGCCTTCCTTTTGATTATCAGATTTTGCAGCAATCAGATGACTCAGAAAACTGCACAGTGCTGCGTTAACTATGAGATATGCTTTTATATAGGCAACGCGCCTCACTAGGTGGTAGCTTGTGACTACCATATTCAAAAACCGTATACACCTATTTCCTTCTATTTCTACAGTAAGCAGTAATGGTGGGTATACGAGTTATTTGTTGCTAGAAAGAAATATTTTCGCATCAAATCTTACAGACACGAAAGATTTCATGAACATGTCATTAAAAAACAAACTTGGTATCAGCAACAAAAGGGTTAAACGTTTCGTAAAGTTTCAATCATTTCCTCATTTATGAGTTATTATTAAGAAACAGCTTATGTCATTTCGAACCGAAAGACTTGACATACATGGTTGCTTCAATCAGTGAAGGTCATTAGTTCCCAATGTTACGTTCACAGGTCAACGATACCATTGCTCACAAAAGATCATGCATGGATTCAATCGTATTCACGCTTACGTTGTGTATTGAGGGGAATACCAGAGAGAGAATAGAGCACGTATTGTTACTTGCATGTTGATAATTTGTTGTTTCGACTGTCCATACAATAACGCAGGGTGCGAACCTGTGGCATTCGTCACACCATGTGGTCAACCGAAGGCTGTTGCTGCCAGGTACTACATGTTGAAGGGAGCTTATTCTACAGGATAAAGCATGTTAGATCAGAACATTAAGCGCTTGCCAGTAAAGTTTTAGCATCACACAAACATCCAATGAGCCAAACTCACCAATATTTCGATGTTCATACACTAAAATTGTACAAAGACAGAACCGTCTACTAAAAACAGAAAAGAAGCTGCAGCATTTTCGACCCAGAATCTACAGTAAGATGTTAAAGAGCAGCGTCGATGACGCTTCAAAGACCCAGAGATTTCAATGATCCAAAACAGTCGTGATCATAATAATAATGTGTCTAAAAATAATGCTAATTTTAATAATGTTAATTCTAATGTCTTCCTAACCTTAGAATAAAGAAAAATCTAGCCTAAACGGTCACCCGTACCCTTTAGTGAATCATCTCGTGCCAGAGATTGCTGTCTTGTTTAATCTGAGAACATATGATTAGGAAATGAAGAGATATTCTCTGTGAAAGTGCTGGCCACAAACATGTACAAGCCGTACAGAAGCATTTACTGGTGTCATTTTTTTTGAATTGAAAAGAAGCATTGTATTTGTGAATATCAGCTTTGCAGTTAAAACCACTTACAGGCAGTTAACCATATCGCCAATATGAAACGCTCTGACATTGTTAGGAATGAGTCAATGGGTAGGTTGACTGCTTTCAGCTGCTGATCGACAATGTTCATGCACTAATGCTTTTAACATAACTAAATTCATGCAGAACCTCCGAGATAAGATATTCAAAGAAACCTATGTAAATCTCAAAATTAGAAAGAACCTGTAGTGAACACCGATTTGGTCATGATTTGCTCAAACATATTGTGAACGGTATTGGTGGAGAAGCTTCGAGATCTTATACATCTGATTCACATAGAAAATATTTAGGAAGATATTGAAGGCGACTGAATTTATTCATTGCGCCAAATGGACGTTGTAGGGATATCAAACATTCGTCGAAGACATATTCGAATGTTTGCTTCGACTATTTGTTTCTGTCGCGTTCCAGCCCCTTACAAGTATCCAATATTTCCTTTTCATAAGCAGAAATCGCCTCAACTTACATATTTTGCGTAACGCGTACTTGTAGAAGGGTAAAAAATTAATTTACAGTATGCATCTTCATTTTTCCTTAGTGTCAGATGCCTTCCCATATGAATAAGGTACTGTAATTCTTCTGATGCTGGAATTAGCCGCCACATTCTACGGACTATCATAAAATTCCTGTCCTACCGTAGAAATTTTATTCGTTTTAACGGTAGAGCATCACAAAGCTGTCTAAGAACGTAAGCGTTCCGTGAATACATCTTTCTCTTCACGACTTTACATCCTGTACCTAAGATTTTCAAAATCAGTCTACGTCGACTATCCGTGAAATATGCGGATAACCGCATCCTGATGCAACTGTTGGAAACCACCAAGATTTGGAGGAATGGAAAGCGACAAGAAGAAACAATTTGGCCAGTCCAACTGATGCAGATTTGTCTTTAAGTCAAGCGTGTGCTAAGCGCATCTGAATCTTCAAAGCAGACGGAATTACTCGTGATTTTTCCAGTCTCTCATAGTCATCGGTCACATGGGTTAAAACTGCTAAGTGCCTGAATGCGGTGCCTAATGAGAGGATAACCTGGTCTAATCAATTAACTTACATACTCAATGAGGTGAGTAAAAGTCACTTCAATCTTCCGTGATAACGCTTCGTTCGAACCTATTAGGATTTGAGCTAGCGATTTAGAATATGCCGCGTGACACTTACTATCACTTATGTTCCTCCATTTGATTTTGAAATCATAACGGTGGGTGATTGTGCTCTCCTAAGGCGATGTATCAGAGTAGTTGCTAGCTTTGGAAAATTACTGTTCGCTATGTGGTGGTTGATTGACAGACAATAAGTTATAGTTCTGTCTCATTTGCTGAAAGAATATTGCAGCGTATCACCCATTCACCTCATACATTTAACAGCCCAGTAAATTTGTAATTCCTCAACATAACGGAACTTAATTCTTCCTACAACAGAGTCTGATCTGTTCAATATTTCAATGGGGCTGCCCTTTCTTTGTACCCGCATGAATTCTGGTGTATGAAGTTGTCGCCGCTTTCCATAGGTATCGAGTGACAAATGTGTTTCTGTGTTACGCTATATTGCATAGATGCTAGAGCTGAAAACCGAATCGCGCAGTACCCCGGTAGCACTTCATCGG